CTGGAGGCGACCAGCCACCCCTACCATCGACCTCCTCATCTACTCCCTCGACCCTCAAATCCCCCGCCGTCCCCCACTCGGGGTGGTTGTCGGTTGGGTTTAATCCGCGTGCAGTCCCTTGCCAGCTGGAGCGGGCAGCATCATCTCACGTTTCTTCATGCTCCTCATGCCCTCGAGGGGGCACCGTGGGGGGGGCATCGGGCAAGTGGCCGCAACTTGCAACGTTGATGGGAGGGGGCATTGTTTGCCTCCCCCGTTCCACGCCTCCAAGTCCAGGGCGAGGGGGGAAGATCGGAAAGGGGGAGGGGGGATGAGGGCGCAGGGGCAGCAGGAGCAGCAGCAGGGCACGGGGGGCAAGGAAGAGTAGGCGGAGGAGGAGGAAGAGGAGGAGGAAGAGGAATATGCCCTCCAAATGACCCCCTCCCCCAACATAGCTTACCGCATGCCCGCCGCCCCCCTTGAAGCCCACATGTGGCCTGGTGGGAGTCCGAGTACTTGGTCTTCTTGCGCTGAGTGCGCACCTTGAGCGCCGAGTTGATGTCCTTGCCGTTGGACAAGTAGAGGTCGAACAGCGTCCGCTTCTCGTTGTTCGTGAACTTCCGCGGGTTCTCGTTCCCCTTGTCGGGGGCCTTCATATCTTTCATGAACTTGTTCCACTCGGCCTTGCGCTGCTGCGACGGGCAGGTCTTGTCGCACTGCTCTGCGGGGGGCGCGACAGGCGCCGCCGTTGGGCCTGGCGCCGCCGCAGCAGGGGCCGGCGCCGCCGCAGGGGCTGCAGGGGTTGGCGCCGCAGGGGCAAGCGCCGCCCCAGGGGCTGCAGGGGCTGGCACCACCGCAATGCCCGCGAGGGCAGGCGCCGGCGCGGGGGCAGACGCCACTGGGCCAAGCGCCGGCGCCACCTCCTGCGAATCTGATGGAACGAAGATCGGCACCGATGAGTCACCCGAAGGCCCGTAGACTGACTCCTCGTGCGGCGTCTTGATCATCAGGCGCCTCTTGGCTTCGGTGAGCGCAGCCTGCAAGGACGCTGCGTCGCCCATCGCGACGTCCGCGTGGGAGCCCGGGCTGCCCTCGCCGATCACGCCACTCTGGGAGGCCAGCGGGTCCAGTGTGCCAAGTGCATCATTGAATTCTTTGTCGAAGTCCTCGCTCTCGTCCAGCTGCTGGTACCACGGCACGGTGGCGGAGTCCACGACGGTCAGCGTGTCGGGGGGCGCCGCATCACCGCCAAGCGCACATAGCTGGCGGATCGCCGCTTGGCTGCTAGCCTCCTCGTCTTGCCGTTTCTTGATCGAGGTGGCCACGGTCTGCGCTGTCAGGATGATCTGCTGTTCGATTTGCGCCAAGTCCGCCAGATTGTAGGTGTGCAAGGCCTTCAACCCCGCGGTGGTCACCCCAGCGTGGCGCAACAACTCCATGTAGTTCATGCCGATCGGGCGGGCCAGCTCCTCGGCCTTCTCGATGAAAGCGTCGCGGGGAGCTCGACGTAGCGGCCGAGGCCCCTTGGGTTCGCTCGAGGGCGACTCACCCACAGAGTTCGGCGTCGGTGGGGCACTGCTGGCGGCTGACGTCGGAGCTGGGGACCGCTGCTGCAGCTGCCAGTGCTGCATGGCCTGCTTCTGCTCGTCTGCGGTCGCGATGCGGAGCGGACGCGTCTGCAGGAACAACGGCGGCATCTTCTTCGGCGGCGGCGTGGATGGCAGGGGCTGCACAGGTGCCGACACGGGCTGCGGCGATGCAACTTGCTGACCAGCTGACGCCCGTGCCCCCGCAGGCGCGGCTTGCTGACCAGCCGGCGCCAGCGCCCCCACAGGCGCGGCTTGCTGATCAGCTGGCGCCGCGGGCGTCGGCGGCGCGGCTTGCTGACCAGCCGACGCCTGTGCCCCCGCAGGCGCGACGTGCTGACCAGCCGGCGCCAGCGTCCCCGCAGTCGCGGCATGCTGACTAGCCGACGCTGATGCCACGATAGTTGCAGGCGAAGGACCCGCAGGGCCGTTCCCTTTGCCCATGCTCTTGCCCTTGCCCGAGGACGACGTCACATGGGCCTTGGGCACCATCCACCCCGACGGGGGCTTCGGCATCATCTTCGCCAGGAGCGCCTCACTCTGGCTCGCGTTCAGCCCTGCCTTCTCCGCGAAGGCAGCGAGCTTTTTCTGCATGGCTGCTGCGTCGGCCATGCCCTCGAAGGGAAAAGGGAAAGGGTGAGAAGGGGCAGGGGAAGGGGGGGGGTGAGGGGGAGATGGCATTTGAGGGGGGGGGGGGCACAGGGGGAGGAGAAGGAGGCAAGGGGACGGGGGAGGTGGAGGAGGAGAAAGAAGGGTGAGGAAAGAGGCCTGAGTCGGGCAGCGAGAGCAGCGTCGGGCCAGGGGCAGAGGCGCGCAGCTGCCAAGTCACTGCATGTGACTGCTCGAGTCTGAATGGCTTGGTGCCCGCGAGGGGCACAGAGGGGGGAATTCAGTTCGACCTCGAGAGACGGGCAAACGAGCAAGCGAAAGACCCACGACACATCGGCGACGGGAGCTCTCTCGCGGCCACGACTGGGTCCGCGTCGAAATTCTGGCCCAAATTGGAGGGGCCCCAATCGCGCGCTCGAGGCCCAAACTGGAGGGGCCGTCCTGAGGCGTCGATGCGCAGGGCACGACGATTCACCCGCAGGGCACGACGATTCACCCGCAGGGCACGACGATGGTTTTTGGCCCGTTCCGAAAATATTTTGCAATTTCTGCTCAAAACGTGGCCAAACATGACTCGGATGGCGACGTACCCCCCCCGCGGCCCTCCTGGCCCGTCTCGGGTGGCGACGGACCCACCCGCGGCCCTCCTGGAAGGGTCCTTGCCCCTCCTCCCCCCCCTCATCCCTCCTCCTTCCTCCCTCCTCCCTCCGCCTCCCCCCCCTCCCCCATCCTCCTCCTCCTCATATCCCTCCTTCTCTTCCGCTCCCTCCTCCTTCTCCTGCCCCCCTCCTGGCCCTGCCTGCCGCCTTCGCTTTCGACCTCTCCTGGCCTCCTCCTGGCCTGGCCTCCTCCTGGCCTGGCCTCCTCCTGGCCTGGCCTTCGCCACGCTTCGCGCGCGCTGCGCCCCCCCCCGGGCGTGCGCCAGGCGACGCAGGGCGTTCATCTTCATCGAGAAGCCCTCGTGCTTCACGGAGGCTGCTCATTCACCTGCGGGGCGGCGGGCAAGGGCAGCGGGGGCTTCTACACCCCCATCTCGCCGAGTATGGGCGGGGCGCCCCGCGGGCCAGTGGAGCGCACACAATTGCCAGAGATGGTTCGGGGAAGGCATCCGATGGGCCCACGAAGCTCCCAAAGATGCCCCATGGGTGCCCCCTCGCACTCCAGGCTGCCAACATCCACCCGCCCCAGAAGGGAAGCCCCCCCCATGCAGCACCCAAGAAGCCCCGAGGGCCCTCTAGAGACATTCAAGCCCTAAGAGGCCCACAGTGAAGAGGCCCCCATACACGCCCCAGCGCGTCCAAAAGCTCCTAGGAGACATCCCAAGAGACCCCAGAAGCAACTCTGAGAGGTCACTGGCGCGCCATTGGGGGGATGGGGCAGCGTATTTTTACACGTAGCACATGCAGAGATATCAATATCACAGCGCGGCCCAAATGCGCTCCGGCGGTGGCACCGCCAATTTCACATTGCATTGCGAGAGAGTCCGAACCAGCACCACGCAGGGAGGAACGAGAGGAGGAGTGGGTGCAGCGTTTAGCCCAATGACAGGAAGGGTGGAATGGGGAAGGGGAGGAGGGGGCGAATAGAGGGGGGAAGCGCGGGAATTCACAGCGCTCCATAGGGCGACCGGCAGCGCCAGACACCACGCGCGGCATTCAGCTCACGGGGGAACTCGCGGGGCAAAGATAATCAGCGGCGCGCGCAGGAGATCAGGGCTATAGGGGTGGTTTCCAACAGGGCGAATAACATTTTAGATGACGCAAAGCCACGTTGATGCCTCGGAAAGCCACCCCATTCGCTCTGACCCCTTTGCGTGCCCCGCCGAAACATTGCCTCGGCATTCAGAACTTCAGGAAGCACTGGAGAGCAAGCGGAACACATCGTCGAGCTCGGCATCTTTCCAAGGGTCGTTGGTGGGCATGTTTTTCACAGTGCAGCTCTGCAGTTCCTTGGTCAAGGACTTAGCATATTTCATATGACCCGCGCGGTTGTTCATAAGCCACTTTGCCACCGCTTTCCCAAATCCACGTGGGTAGCTCTGGCTCGCTTTGAGGTCCTCCCCCCCTTCGCGGTCTTGCGGCCCTTCGAGTCCACACCGTGGGGGGAGGACAGGCGGACGGAGGAGCAGCCGGCGAAGGAGGAGAAGGAGGAGGACATGGAGGGAGGAAGGAAAGGAGGCAAGGGCGAGAAGGAGGAGGATAAGCAGCTCAATGGGGAGAGGTAGGGGGGAAAGGACAAGGAGGGGAAGAGCGGGGGGCGCCTTGAACATACATCTGTTGTTTCACTTTCGGCCCCTTCTTATACGAGGTGCACTTAAGAATCTCGCGGCAGTCCTCCATGTTCGAATACAGCTTGCTGGGTTTCTGGGCGTCGGCGCCGAACGCCTGCAGCCGCGCTCGACTCGCTGCAGCCCCCCCCCCCCCCCATCGACACCCAGGGGGGGATAGCTCAAGAGGGGTGGGCAGCGTAGGGGGAATAGGGCCCAAGAGGGGTGGACAGCGCGGGGGGAAGGACCCACCGACCCATTGGGCCGAGGTGGTCGAGGGCGTTGGCTCAATATGCACCCCCGCGCTCCCCCCTCCCTCCTTCGAGAAAATGATGTCCACCCCTCTCTCCCTGCCCGCAGCGCCTGCATGTGAAAAGAAGTCATCCATACCCTCACCATCTTCATGAGCAATTGGAACCGCCTGTGCAGGTGCATCGTGGACGAGCGAGGTTGTTCGAGAGCCCAGACGGCGCCTGGGAGGCACCATTCCACCCACCCACCCACATACACACCGCATGGCTTCAAGATGGGGCCATTGAAGCTCTCTTGGGGCGCATGGC